CACAAGATATTGACAACAAGCTATCAGCCACAATCTAGCAACAACAAGCTAGCAGGTACAAGCTAATGACAACAAGTTAGCAACCACAAGCTAGCAGCCTAACCCCAAAAATCAAACCCTTTGGATATTTCTTTATTCTGTGTTACTTTCAGTTGTTATAAAAATGCTGCATAGATCAAAAATAAATTTAAACGCCTTGAAATTGGCCTCTGTCTCTCGTACCGTTTCTGACACACTCACTTCAGCAAGTTTGTAAACAATGCCTCATTCTGTTTACAACCTTTTGTAGAAGCATTGTATTTTGTTGTTAAAAAAAGAAGCAACATTTAATAATTTTGGTTTTAGAAAACGGCAACTCAGGATAGAGTTGAACCTTACTCCAATGATCCTGGAACGTAGGTTTACTGAAGAACCAGAGTGAGTACGGAGGCTCTTACAAGACATTTCAGTTTGGTAATAAATCTCAGAGTCTTCCTCTCATATATATACGCCATGTTAAGATACAGTACTTATTGAGATTAAACTATTAATATAGGTCATTATGAAGAAGGAGGGGTGCTCTGTGGGGCAGGAYGTCAGCTGCAGACTGGGTTCCAGGGAGGAGCTAAGTACAAATAGGCGGAGCTTTGTACCAGCAAGTGTTTAGGCAGCTCATGGCTACCACAGGAGATTCAAGGATTTCTCAAATATGCATAAACTCTTGTTATGTTTTTGATGAGGGAATGACATAACATGATATAAAGCTTAAAAAAAATCCATTTTCCGTAACCCCCCCCAAAACTTGTAGCTAGTTTTGTCAAGCTCCGGCTTCTTCACTGTCGCAGTCAATCCAAATCCACATCAAACGAGCAGGAGCAAGCCCTGACAGTTACCAGTGACCATGACCGTTTTCTCCAGAACACYGGTGTTTTGCAGGACGTGTGACTCATGCAGCCCACGGCTGTCACTGCAGCAGACCTCAGTGGAAAGCAGGACGTCCTCGAGGCAAACACTGATGAATGCGCTCTTCTAGGAATGAAGATGAAAACGGAGCTGGAAAATGTGCTTCTGCTGCCCTGATTCAGACTTTTCCACAACTTGTTTAGCTTCCCTTCTCTTCCCCCCCTCTCATTCCTATTTTTCTGTGGGTGATTCTGAAAAAGTGATGACAGCGAAGTAGAACGGATGACTGAGCAGCAGGTCCACATGAATCACGAGAGAGAGGGATAAAGAGACAAATGGTTCTCGGCGAGAACATTTGGGACCGAACGTAACGCAGAGCTTCTTAAAATCTATTGGCGTCCCCGGAGAAAAGGTCCAGAAAATGAGCTGTTTTTACTTTGTTTCTGCCTCGGCTGGCTGTGAAACACATCAGTGATTCACTGATTTATTTGCTCTGGGTCAGGTAGGAGTCTGAGAACAGACAGGTGAWTCCAGTTTAGAGTTAAAAGCCTCCTTGTAAGATTGCATTCACGTTCTCAACGTAACGCCAAAGTTTAGCTCATTAATTGTAAAATTAACCAAGTTGTAGTCTGGTATTCTTTATAGATTAACTGTGGCACCTCTCTTGAATCGGCTCGACTCCAGAATTGAATCAGCCGTCGACGTTCACTGAATAACTAACTTCTGAAAGTTTCATTAAAATCCATCCAGTGGTTTGGGAGATATTTTGCTAACAGACAGACGGCATCAACCAGCGATAAACAGAAACTTGTTACAGCGTCTCCCAGACAAGGAGCTCCTTGTTGCGTGCTTGGTTAATCTCTCACTCTTGAGTTTTTCAAACTGTTTGGACTCTCCTCCTCCTCTTCCCTTCATTTATCTTAATTCTAATTTGTAGCTTTGCTCCGGCCACACGTGATATCCAGATTTTTGGACAATAAGTGGGACCACCCAGAAGTGTTTCGGGCCTCTTTTTCTTTCTTTCTTTCTTTCTTTTTTTTTTTTTTTTTTTACAAAATAAAGGCCTCAAATCGAGCAAAAGACACATTAAAATCTAATCGGATGGCAGTGACACACAGTAGTCGTGCCGTTTTTTATTTCCAAAGCAGATGGAGAGCCTTGGCCCGTCCAGCATTAATTACAATCACATTCAGGGAGGAAGCCGTCCCTCCTCCAGGGCGGTTAGGACTCGGTGTACGGGCTGGAGGAGATGGCAACCTAATCCCCCTGGGGTCGCCGCAGAAATCTGAGGGAACTGTCAAAAGATGCACAGGACGTGATTAATCAAAAAATAAAAATAAAAAAAACAAGGAGCCAGATGTGCGACGATGCAGGAGGATAAAAAAACAACCCAAAAACACAAACCTGCAGCAGCAGAGGAAGAACCGAAACCACAGACGCACAAACACAACACTGCTGCCACCCCGAGCTTCTCCTCTGTCTGGTTTTCATCACAGCGTGTTGCAACACTCAGAGGACCCCACAGAGGACTAGACCTCTTTATGCAGAGACGTCTTCACCTGTTTGTCTGATCAACCCGAGTCAAGAAGGCCTCCGGAGATAATCAACACAAACACAGCTGTATCGYTGCTGCTGCAGGTTTAAGGTCAAATTTAATGCGGTTGTTTCTGAGGGAGTCAAAAAGAAAAAAAATTGTGTAGGTCTTCTGGACGGGTTCTTCTCTAATGAAACGTTTCGTCTCTCCTCCAAGAGACTTCTTCAGTCTGAGAGTTTCAGGCWAAATTCAGGCTTTTAAGCCCTGCCTCCATGTGACTGATACTCACATCACATGGCTATCGTTGACACCTAATTAACACTTATTGTTAGCAGGGGGTGGAGTGATACTGGCAATAGCCTCGCTGTAGGAGGGGGACAACTGAAAACAGAGGCCTCCACCTCTGTTTAATGATGGACGGTCTTTCTTCACAAAAATGGCTTCTTTTACTCCTCTCTCAAACCAGCGTTCCTCTATCAAGAATGAGAACATCCTCATCTCTGAAAGAGTGACCGCTGGCCTGTAAATGAGGGAAAACTGCAGAGTTCTGAGATGCATCAGGACTTTCTGAGGGAGTGTAGTAAAGACGAGTCCAGGAAGGATGGAGACAAGTTCCGGGAGTGATTTGTGACAAAACGAGACAAAAAGAGTGAGGTCAGTAAGGTTTGACAGGAAATGGCAGAGCTGAAGATGTTGAGGTTCTCCTTGGCCTGGACTCTGCAATCTGCGGCTCTTTGAAGCTTTGACCAAAGCAAAACACGAAATTCAATTTCTGGGGTTTCCCCACACCAGAAAAAGCTAGCTTTAACTGTTTTCCTCCAAATTTGTTTGCAAATAGTGATCAATGCTACTAAAACAGACTGAAATCTGTTGATTAGATCATGCTATTAGCATGTTAGCCACTAAAATAATCCAACTTCCAGCCTTAAAGCATGATCTTCCTGAAAAATCCATCAGAATTACCTAAACTAGACTTGATAATAAGAATTAGGGGAAAAAACATGGCTTCAGAGTTTAGCTGCAGATTTTATTAAATTTGGTAAAAACTAATTATAGTTATTTATTGTTTACAGAAATTTTAGTCTTTTCTTGAGTCATAAAGTCTAAATATGATAATAAATGTTAAAATTCATTACATATTTTTTGTTTTATAATGTCAACCCCACTGGCCAGAGAGGCCCCCCTTTAACAAACTCAAAGTGGCCCACGAGCCACCAGTTGATAATCACAGCTGCAGCATGTTTCGCGGCTCCGGACACGAGGAGCAGAAATGGATCTTTTGATTAAAGGTTGCAGACCTCCTCTCGCTGGGCGTGAGAAGGATGGAGAAGATCAGGAGAGATGAAGTTAGAGACCAGAGATGTTTGGACATGTCCAGAGGACGGACAGAGGGATGTTAGAGACCAGAGATGGTTTGGACATGTCCAGAGGACGGACAGAGGGATGTTAGAGACGCAGCTGCCAGGAAAAACACAAAGAGGAGAGATATGGATGCATATGGAGGACATGGTGAGGACAGAGAGCTGGAGGAGGTGTGGCGACCCCTGAAGAGGCAACAACCAAAAGAAGCTGCTGCTTCAAGCAATATCAAATATCTAAAAACGAGTTGRAAAAATACTAGATTATAATCTGAATCTTCTCAAATTAAGTGAAAYATTTGCCAGTAAGRTGCTTCCTGAAATAAAAATAAGATTAATAATCTGACACATTCTGYTCTTGTTTAGTCTCAAAACAAGATTAAAAATACTTTTTGGCTGATATAAGTCTTGGACAAATTTATCAGTGTTTCAGTTAATCTAACGTCATTTCTTAGAATGTTGAGGAGAAAATGCACTTTTTTATCCAAATAAGCTAAAACCTGACAAAGTCCTGACGATACCCACTGCTTTTAAGAAAAAAAGGGACAATCAACCCGACCTCTGAGCTCCTCTTCCACTGGCCCGTGACTCTGCCAGGACCTCTGTTTATCTTCACGCGCTCTGTTTAGACTCTCCCAGTAAACACTGGAGCTGCTAATGGAAGGAAGGCCTTTGAGCTTTTATGTTCTGATTAAAGTGTCCCTGTTTATTATCGCTGGAGCTAATTAAAGACTAATCTGCCTGGGAAACACAAACAATGCGACGCAATTTACGCAGAGAGAAGCCGCAGCTCTCCTCTCCGCTCTGGTGGGTCAAGAGCAGAAATAACCCCTTTATATACAAATACCAGTGGTGGCGGTTGATGGTTTGCTGTGGGGGGGTTAAACTGGGTTTATCCTCCAGCTCTAAATGCACATCACGTAGCAGATTGCGCAGCAGGACCTGACCGCAGAGTTTCGGTCCTGGAGCGCAGGAGAGAGGAGGACGCGTCGCAGTAAATCACCCAGAAACAATACGCGCCTCATTTGTCGAACCGCACGGGAAGTGAGTGAGTTATTTGGTCCCTCTCTGTGGTTCACACAGTGAGAGAGTTCATTATAAAATACTAGACGAGACGTGCGTAAAGGCGCGTCGCGGAGGGCGCAGATCCACAGGTGGACGCGCAGGTTTTTTGAGTCCTGGAATCATCACACACTTAAAAATATACATATTTCCAACGAACTCACCCAGATTAACGAAGCTCATCACCATATCCGCGTCATTCAGGAAGGCTGTTTCCTGAAACGTCGCCAGAGGAGAGCTCTGGGTCGTGCGCGCGGACCTCAGCCTGTCCGCCTTCTCCTCGCCGGACATGGTGTTGTACAGGTCCAGCATGAAGAGCGGAGCGGAGTTGTACTTCCCGTGGGAGAGGTGCGGCCGCGGCCTGTGCGGCAGCCCCAGGATGGACAGGATCTCCTTCTGCATCTCGCGCTTCTCGTGCGTCCGCAGCCGCCGGTGCACGAAGCCCGGGTGCGCCTCCGGGGTTCCGTCCGGCGAAAAGTGGCTCCCGGCCGCCATGAACGCGCAGCAGGACGCGCTCCACCACACTCCGATTAGAGCGAGCAGGCAGCCGGTCATGATGGTGCTGTCCGGAGCCCCGACAGAGCCTGGTTTGGAGTTTCAGTCCGGGCGCAAAGTCTGCGCGTAAAAGGTAACCAAAGTCCACCCGAGGAGGTTTCTGTCTCAACGCACCGATCAGACGCAGAGGTCGGGTCGTGTTTCAAGCCATTTGGAGTACTCAAAGTAAAATAAAAGCATCGCTCCGGCTCTCATGTCTGGCTCCTGCTGCCTCAGGATGAAGCGCAACATTTAATAATCTGAGCGCTCCGGTTCGGTCAGCAGACACCATCAGATCCGACTCTCACACACAGGCTGGCTCCTCTGGCTGAAGTCATTCTGTAGAAACAGTTGGAGCTGACCGTCCGCTGCGCGTGGACCAAACAATAATAATAATAAACAATAAAATTATCTTCCAGCAGTCTGCGGGCGGCCAGGAACTCCTGCAGGTTGTGTGTGAGGCGCAGCAGGTTGCAGTTCATAATATGGCTCGGTGCGCGTGCACGCCCACTCCAGAGGTGGAGCTCTTTAACATCAGGTTGAGGAACAAGTCAAAAACCCCGGAAAAAAAAAAAAAGAGACACAAACTGCTGCGCGTCATTTCACCTGCACGGCTCTGAGTTAGAGGCTGTAAATCCCGCTAATCTTAATCCAGCGCCGCCTTTCAAGTGTTTAAGGTGTTTGTTGTTTTTAAGGATTAGATTTGAGCTTCCAGAAGGATGTTTCTGGTTTTAAGCTGCAGTGGAGGCACGGCCCCTGATGATGGGAGAGGAAACAGCAAAAGTGAAGCAAACTGGACTTTTAGCGGTTTTAATAACTGGGAAGGTGAATAAAAACTGAATAAATAATATGTGTGAACATTTGCATATCATGAAATATCAGCAGCTTTCACATAAACAGATTTTAAGTTTAATGATTGTTCCATTTAAAAAAGGATAGAGGACTAACACAAATAAAATATGATTTTCTCAGATTCTGCATGAACACAAACACATCGAGAAACTTTGTTACCTTTAAAAGTTTCAGATTATTTAAAAAAAAAAACAACGATTTTATTGTTTTATTACAAGCTGCCTTAGTTTATTTGGAACATAAAKTTAAGGTAATCTTTGCCTGTGTCTGTTAGCAAAATATCTCAGACTTTCAGAAAATAATCAGTGTGAACCTACATGTTACCATTTGAAGCCAATCCAGTTCAAGATGATTTGTATTTTTATTGTCATTTATTAAGTTTGTTGTTTGTGTTGCTGCTTTTTTGATCATATCTCACTTTTAAAAAGTTTTTTTTTATCATAAAAGTTTTTTATCATAAACAAATCCCTGAATAAATCAAGACTGTAAGACAGCTGCCAAAAATGTTCAGCCTTAGCAAACAAACAAAAAAATGTCAATACTCCGTCAATCTTTCAGATACTGAGCTAAAATACGGAGTGGTAGCTGAGAGTCATCATCAATGCATAATCTGAGGGGGAATTTTAGCAATAGTGCTGAATGTTATTTTCCACATTTGACAAAAATGACTAAWCTCTCAACAAAAAATGTTCTAAAACTCTGACATTAAAGGCAGCAGGTGATATAGTCCTTAAATTGAAAAATGTGTGTTTAATATCAAAACATTTGAGTACGTAAACAGAAGTTTTAGAAAACTTTCACCTAAAGAACCTCAATAAGCCATCACGTTCTGGTTCTGTTGTTCTTGAGGGGAAATAACAGTTATTATCATTAAAAAACAGAATTATCGTTCAATTTMTTTTAACACAAACGTCAGCAGACGTGCAGATTTCTGCCTGCAGGAGTGTTTCCTGCAGACAGAAGGAGCATCAGCTGATTTAAGAAAAGCTCCACAATCAAGTGTTTCTTAATAAACTCCAGTGCTGCAAATCATCTGAATTTAGCTCAGTAAATCCACRGTTAAAGTGCTGAAATCAGACGGAGAAATTATAAAAAGCTGACTTTTTTCTGTTGTTTTCCTAAAAGAAAACCCTGTTTGTTCGCCGTTCCTCAATTGGGAACATATGAAGACAAAAAAATAAAATAAAATAAAATAAAAAAAACCCACAAAATTTCAAAAAAATCTACAGCCAGTTTTGAGAAACCTCCACCTGAAGACCAAAGGAACCGGTCTGTCTCCGGTCTCCCATGATTCCTTTCACCCTGACCTGTGTTTTGTCTCAGCGCTGCCCTCAGACGGCGTGACGGTCCTGACGATAGGAGCCGAAGCTGTTCGTATCTCGCCTTATCTGTGAGGCGAAGAGAGGCAGCATCAACAGCAACACACACACACACACACACACACGCGCGCGCGCACGCACGCACGCACGCACGCACGCACCGCCTCAGCCTGAAAGCTTTATTTAATAAAACTGTTAGGACCTTAGCAGATAAGTCTTTTATGCCACCTGCTGCTGAAAGAAGGTGGCGGACGATAACGGTCCTGCCGTGTCTGTGTTTGTGTTTCTGTTAGCAAAATATCTCATGAACMACTGCATGGATTGTAATGAAACTCAAGTCAGTTTCATTAAAACTTTAACCAAGAAATGGTGATAATTCAGGTGTTTTTACAGATACTGACATAACATTTGTTCATATATGTGGATTGTTTTTTGCTCTTTTTTGTTTTCTTGTCACTATGAACCCATGTGTCTTTAATAAAGTTTTAAAGTAATGTATGTACACCACAAATAYACATTTTATTGGCTGTGTGGGAAATAAACTGACTAAAATATCAACAGAGCTGAAGGCTAAGGTCACATTTATCACGTTTATCAGTCTTTTTATTTTAATTCCTCTTAGATTTTATGTTCTTTTTTTAAAGAAGAAGAAAACAAACTCCTTATATTTATAAAGATTTATACAAAAACATTTTGAAGCAGAAGTGGGTTTTTACGGTCTGTAACGCACAGAACAGAAAAACAAAAGTGTTGCTTTTATTTTCCGGACGAACGCGGTGGAAGGAAATGTCTCATTGTTGCTGCCTGACCGAGCGTGAGTCAGCCGTTAGGACGAGCAGCAAAAAAGTTCCACCTTCAATCAGGACATGTCATAAAAAACAAACAACCGACTGAAACAAATTAAATAAAGTCATGAAGAATGACAGTTTTAGGCATTACGGTCAACCCTTCAAAATAAAGCTCAGAGTGGGTGTTGATGAAGACTCTCAGCTACTACCACCACAAATTCTAGGTCAACATCTCGAAAACTGACCGAGGGACTTTTTTGTGTGCTTTTGGAAACCGTTAGCTGTGGCAGCCATCTTAAATCGAGTTGACTCCAAACGATAATCAGCTGCAGGTGAACATCCAGCGATTGTTTCCTAAAAGTTTTAATGAAATCCGTCCAGCAGTTCATGAGATATTTTGCTAACAGACACAGACAAACGTGAGCAAAAACAAACCTGAAGCTGCACATGAACTTAAACGAACCCTGAAACAAAAACAGGTACATTTGTTTGACTGTGTGTGTATGTGTGTGTGTGTGTGTTTGTGTGTGTGTGTGTGTGTGTGTGTGTGTGTGCTTGTTTCTGCTACAGAGCGAGGACCGTCAGTTTTTAACCAACAAAATGAGGACATTTTTCCAGTCCTTGCATTTTTTGCAGCTCTAGTTGGGTTTAGAGGTTTGGTGTGAATTAAGTTTTGGTTCAGGTTAGGGTTAAGTTAGGGAAATGWCTGGGTTAGGCATAAATAATGTTACAAAAATGAAAGGAAGTCAGTACAAAGTCCTCAGTTTGATACAAATACAAGGAYGTGYGTGTACATGTTTTTACACCTGGTGGGGRCGATTTTTGRCCATTTTCCTGGTACACACAGGCTGGTGAGGACCCACTGTTCCTTATGGGGACAAAAGCCCGGCCCCTTTAGGGGAAATACTGTTGGTGGGTCAGGGGTGAGGTTTAAACCTAAGGTGTAAATTTAAGGTCAGGTATGTACCTGTGAGGTCCGGTTTAGGGTCAGAGGTCAGGGAAAGGCTGTAGAAATGACCGGTAAATGAATGGAAGTCAATGCAAAGTCCTCACAAGGATAGAAGAACAAACRTGTGTGTGTGTGAGAAGCAGGGGGTGGAGCTAACATTAAACAGGAGTTCTGTGTCCTGTCATCACACTGTCTAGACACAACACCTCCTAAACCTAAAGGGGTCTTTTCATGTCTGTATCTTTATTACACACGCACGCACGCACGCACACACACACACACACACACACGTATACGTCTTGTTTTCTACAGTTCCAGTGAGACGGTTTAATTTCTTTAGAACTCACAAACTGTATTAAATTAAAAGGAAGTTTCTGAGGAATGAAAACACCTGGGGAACACCTGACCACGACAAGCGTTTCATTTGGACCAATCACCGCATAGCTGTGCTCTTGTTTTCCTGTTTTTAAAAAACTGTTTTGCACAAATGTGTAGGCGGACGGTTACGGAGGGGTTCGCACACCAACTCGAAGCAGAGGAGATGAGCTCCTGCAGCTCGGATGCTTCTGAAAATCAGTTTTGAGGTAAAAAAAAAAAAAAACGACAAAAAAAGACGACCCGGGCAGTTTTAGACGCAGAGCTGAAATGTTGTGTGGCAGCAGCTGAGACTCAATAACACACACTCATAAGACCTCATCATATAGAAATCATACAGAATATTTTAAATGTTTGAYGAAAGCAGCTCAGAGTTTAAAACTTAATGGGTGACATGAATTTCTTTAAGTTACTGTAGTTCCATTTAAACAGTTTTATTTTATTACAGGAAATACTCTATAAATACAAACGTCACAGCTGGACAAAAGTAGCATCATAGATGTTTGTGTCCAGTCGGGTTATGAGCAAAGTTTCTGGTGATATTCAAATTTTTTGGTTCAGAACTTAAAACGTTTGATCACCTGAATCCAATTCCTCCTGCGAGCTAAAATCTCAGAACTTTCCTCCTTTTTGGCTCCAGCAGCGAACTGGATCGCCCCCCTGATGGCTTCAGTCTGAATGACGGGAGTGCTGTGGTCAAACTCGTACTGCATGGCCTGGACAGAAGCAGAGGCCCAAAACAACACTCAAACTGTGAAAAACTAAAAGAGCAAAAGCAAGATTGACAGTGCTGAAAGTTGCACCGATAAATAAAACAAGATTTCTGAGTGTGTAGGTGAAGCAGAATAGCTAAAAGCCAGCACACCTGGGTAAAAGTGGCAGCATCGTAGCAGCTGTAGACAGCCGAGGAGCGGTCCGAGCGCAGACACTGCTGAGGGAAGGAGCTGATCTGCTCAGCTAGCTGCAGAGCTGCCTGCAAGGCTGCGTTCACAAAGACCAGACACGTTAAGATTTAAACACACACTTTGAAAATTCATAACTTATATTATAAAGTCAGAGTCCTTTCATAAGTTACTGACCCACGTGAAAAAAACATCCAGATCGCTCACGCTTTCTAAATCACCACAACTAAAATTTGAAGAAACTTTGAAACCATTTTGTCACCAACAGTCGCAGTGAAATATGGGTTTAAAGTGTCCGTGATGTGCTTTCAAATACAAAAAGTCAAAGAAAACATATTTATATTTAAGAATCATGGACTAACACACACGAGTTTACCCATTTTGTCCAATACTCGGCATATTTTCTTTTGAACTTGGCTCAGCCAAAGGGAAACAGGAAGTGACATCAAAGGGGAATGCTTTAACAAAGAGTCTTTGTTCATTGAAACAATATTATTTAAACTCTGACTCTTCATCTCTCTGACAGTGACTCTAAATAATCTGAAGAAACATCAGATTCTTCTCTGGTCTGTTGTTAGTTTTTGTAGCAACGCTTTTTCATGCAGACATTCCCMTTTGACATCACTTCCTGTTTCTTCACATGCGAATATMTCAACAACTGTTCATCTCAGSGACGTGAAATTTGTTCTGCGATATGTTATTAATGTTACTGACCCAAAAATGCATTCACGTTTTATTACAACAAATTGATGTCACAGGTACTTTAAAGAGTCTCCGTGGTTGAAATAACAAATTCCCGGGAACAAATTTAGATTTTTCGGGAATTTTTAGAAAGAAAACACAAATAAATTTGTGCCAAACATCAGAGAAAACACTTAATCCCAGTTTTAACTACCACWCTTCATCAGTGTGCATTGCCAATGCAATGCACACTATTGTGATTCGTTTCCCATCCAAGTCATCTCAACTTTGCCATGCTTCTCCTCCTGCATACTTTGTCCTAGAGCTGCCATTGTAATTTATATCTGTAAAGCCCYTGCGCCAAATGATGGCTATGCCTTTTGGTGCCTGTAAAACTTATAGTTTTTGAAATATTAATATTTAATAAATTATAATGGCAGTCAATGGAGCCTTGTATTGGTCCAATACTGCCCCATGCTGTACTCAAGTTGGTACTGCACCATAGTTTAATATTTCAACACAGTAGTTCAGTGTTTACAATACTAATATGATTGTATTTTGATGTTTTACTATAATATTGTCTTAATACTGCTCTRTTGTTGTAATATTATGCATTTTTGTGTCGATAATTGTATTGGCAACGTGGCCACTTTCTGCACACATACAAACCAACCCCTGCCATCATCTTCTGCCACAGCTCCATTGGTCTAATGGTCTATGTCACAGACTTTCATGTGGGAGATCAGGGTTCAAAACCCAGCTAATGCAACTTTAACAAAAAATCTCTTCAAATTTCATATTGTCACACAATTACCTTAATTACAAACACCTGCTGACGTGACAAGCACAAGCTGGTATAGAAAACACATTTGAACTTGGTCAAAGTTCAATCTGCAAGTCCAATGCTGCAGGCAAAGCCRTGCTGCAATGACATGCTATGTGACAATGCACACTTGTTTTTACATCGTAAAAACCAATGTCTAGTTTGCTTTGTCTCTCGTCTCGTTCTGAGTTTAATTTAAGACTTTACTATAAAAATTTAACAGTTTAGAAGGGTTTTACCTTGTAAATAACCGATAACTGAATAACCTGTTTCATCTCTACCAGATATTCTATTTTTGATATTGTTATCTGGCTTGGCTGTAAAGAACTTTGGTTGATCTCAGGTGTTTTATTTAATATGTATATTAAATTGACATTTCTGTTGGCATTGGTCTATAAATCATTTTTAATCAAAAATTGTTCCAAAATTTCCCACGTCACCTAAAGCCTTCCTTTTTTACAAGTCAGAAACATATCTGATAAAACAACAGAAGAAGTAAATAAGCTGATGTGAATACCTTGTCCATCAGGAACAACTCTATTGGCCAGCCCGTAGGCCAGAGCCTCCTGCGCTCCGATGGCTCGCCCTGTCAGAATCAGGTCCAGAGCTCTGGACAGACCGATGAGCCGTGGGAGACGCACCGTTCCTCCGTCGATCAGGGGAACTCCTAAAAAAAAAAACAGGATTTTCAGTCAGCCTAAAAGAAACAATCACTGACATAGAGCTACTTCTAAGGTAGTAAGACAGGAAACAGCAYGACTCTACATGCTGCTGGAAGTGTTTTTATTGAACATTACGACCCAGTCCAAAAGACAGACAGGGGGGAAACGACCGCTGCAAGGTACAGTCATCTTCTGGCGTTTATCCTAATTTCTAAAGAGGCGCAGCTGCAACTGGCACACGTCTTAAAGTTCAGCTCCAGTCCACAATCCCAGCTCCTCGCTGATTCCTTCTGACCACACTCATTGGGAGCACGTGTCGAACATGTTTCTACACAAACCCCACATCATCGTGTTTTCTTTCTCATTTATTCTTTTCCTCCCTCAGTATGTGGGGAAGTCTGAGGAGCGGTTTGGTTCTATTTATACTCGACTTTTTAACCTCGTCATGATGTTGAAATTAATTCTGAGTAGAATATGGACATTAGACATGCTTACATTTGTGCATTTATTATGTAAAACATTAACTAAATAGCTTTAAGCTAGCCTTTTGCTACCTTTAACTTTGTGCTAGCTAGGCTTTTGATAATTTAGCTTCCAGCTACACTATTCCTAAGTTTTTTTTAAACTATTTAGCTACTTCTAGGTTGAGTTTTTTTGCTTTTATTTTTTCTCTAGAGTTCTGTGTATTTTAGCTTTTAGCCAGCCATTTGCTAATTTTACTTTTAAGCTACACTTTTGCCTTTTTTACCATTTAACTAGTAAAATTTACTTTATTCATATTTTCTCCATTGAAATACATTAAATCTCTTTAATACATAGAAAACATCTTTCTTTTTAAAGTTTGCTGTAGCATACTCGCTCTATTTTGTTTTCTTTTTCTACTTTTAGCTTTGAGCTACCATTCAGACTCTTTTTGCAAGCCTTTTTAGCTAATAGTCTGCTATTTTTAGCTTTTAGCTACCCTTTCGCCACACTTAATTCTTRGAAACCCTTCCAGTAATTTAGCTATGAGCTAACATTTTAATACATTTCATTAGCATATTGCTACATTTTTGCTGCTTTTAGGGTTAAGCTTGCCTTTTGTTATTTTTGGCTTTTAGCTACCATGCTAGTATTTTTAGTTTTTAGCTCTCATCTGGAAGGCCTTTAGCTGATGTTAACTTCTAGAAAATTTTACTAATTTAGTTTTAAGTCAGTMTTTTATGATATTTAGCCATTTGCTCGCTAAGTTTAGCTTCTAGCAACTTTCTGCTACTTTTAGGGCTTAGCTAGCCTTTWRCTATATTTAATTTGTAGCTGTTATRCTRCTAMTTTTGTCTTTTAACKACTGGTCAAATATGTSCTAATATTTGACWGGCCTTTAGCTACTTTTAACTTCTAGAAACCTATTTACTACTTTAGCTTTAAGCCAGCACTATTTAGCTTTTAGCAACTTCAGGTACGAACTTCAGGTACTTTTAGAGTTTAGCTTGGCTTTTGCTACTTTTAACAAACATTCTGGTACTTTTAGAGTTTAGCTAGATGTTTACTATTTTTAACTTCTAAAAAATCCTTTCACAATTTTAGCTTTATGGCTTTAGCTTYTAGCTACTTTTCTGCTACTTTAAGTGTTTAGTTAGCCTTTTGCCAATTTATGCCAATTTAAGTAGGGATCATTCTGCCACTTTTAGCTTTTAGCGATAGTTTTGCTACTTTTATCTTGAACCTTTTTTAAACATCATATTCATKTTTTCTGTTTTAATAATCAATGTCTTTCTTGCATCAAATGCCAGCCCCCACAGAACCTGATATATTTTGGCTCAAGAGTAAATTTAGCTGGTTATAGGAGATCCTTTTCAGCAAAAACCTAATTACAAGAAGCTTTTCTTGAAGTTACATCCAACACTTGATAATAGGAAAATGACAGACAGGAGAAGAGGAGGACAGAACCTGCCTCAAAGACGAAGCGATAACGAGGCAGGTTGACCTCCAGTCCGTCTGTCTTTGGTGCTGCTGTTGGCACCACCGCTATCAGCAACCGGAAGGATCTCCCTCCTTATCCGCAGCAGCCGTCTACTGCACCTCCTCCCTCCTCCCTGATAGTCCCGTCTCTGCTGCGTTCTGTTTGACAGACCTGGGCTTTGTCCCACATCAACAGGAGCCGAGATGTTAGCTTTCAACTCTGAAAGGTTGCTTTGAACCAACTTCCGGCTGAGGTGGAGAGCCTCCCGCCCTTGATCCAGATGCAAGATAACGAGTCATCTCATCTGATTTGTCGTTTACGCCTCAACTCTGGGCAAAAACTGTAAAAAAAAGGAGTCCACTGTCAAAGTTTTAACAAGGTTGGACATGAGTCAGCAAGCCTGCTGTTGTATAATCTGAGAGGCGTCTCTCTCTTCCTGGGTCATCACTGCTTATCTGAGTCAAGTGTAGAAGAAGTCTGGAAGAAAGAAGAACAATTGTGTTTTATCAACACACTCCACACTTGGATATGTGTGAGCTTGAGATTACAGAATCCTGAATACTTGAGTCACTATGACTAACTTCCGTGTTTAAGACCATTTATAGTTGCRGTCAGAAGTTTATATTCATCCTGAGCATTAAGGTCATTATTTTGGGGCTTTTAAGGATTTATTGACACCCTTCTTTCTCCAGGGTAAAATAATTATACACATTTTGGGGGCAGAGGTTTGAAATTATTGAATATTTTCTCTAAATAAATATAAAATGTACGCCTTTTTGTGTAATTCTTCTCATCAGATGTGGTTGCTTCCTGGTACAGATCCAGTTTTTCATCATAATTCATCAATAATTTGCCTTTTGGGTTGAGGAAAGCTGTTCTAAAAGCTTAATGTGAACCTGATTTATCCAATCAGAAGCCAACTGATGTGTTTGGCATCAAGTGTAGCCATGTTTTAACCATCTAACTTTGAAATTTGAGACRAAGTTGAAGAATTTTGAGGTAGACCGCCTTCTTCATTGTTCCATCTACTTTTTACGACAGCATGACACTAACACCACCATGCCTTACAGTTGATTTGGTGTTTTAAAGCCTCAACTTGACTCCTCCAAATAAACTTCTTGTCACTGTGGTCTCCTCTGACTGTCCAAGCCTCCTCCAGAAGACATTTTGTTTGTCTATTGAGCTTGAATGTGTTGCTTTCTTTGTCCTCTTGGTCCATGGTGATATAAAACTGTCTTCATCATGGATAAGGACACTGGTGTTCCAATTGTTTCTGGTCCATGGTTTGCCTGAGTCCTGGTTTGTTCCTGACCATCCAAACCAATTTCCTATCATGTCAGGGGGACCGATGAGTATCAGTTCATCCAAGCAAATCCTTCTTATGCTGGCAAAGAAAAACTATCAGCAGTGAAAAGAATTATTCTTCAAAAGGATGTTTTCCTGCTATAAAATAATGCTATATTTGTATTTTTACAGAGTTCTCAAGGTACTGGGGAAATATTCCACGGGAGGCGATGTGACCAAATATCTTCCAGTCCAGACAAACTTGTAAACCTGTGAAACGTGACACAATCAGGGGGGATTCTGGTCTGCTCCTGGTCCTGCTGGCACCCTGACCACATCAAAGCTTAGCCCCACCACAATGGGCTCCCATGAGGGTAATGCGATTAGGTTTGATGTGGATTAACGGTTTCCGGAAAACTCCAGACTTTAATGGACAGCAGCGGAAGATCAGACCTTCAGCTGGAAGACCAAAGTTACAAAAATATATGGCTAATCTAGAAATCAACCAAATTGGCAAAAATATAATTTAGTTGAGGTACAAATTTACCAAAACTGTAAAATAAACATTTTGGTGGCACGACGGCTCAGTGGTTAGTACCGATGCCTCACAGCAAGAAGGTCCTGGGTTCGATCCCCTGTTCAGACCTGGGGTCTTTCTGTGCGGATATTGCATTTTCCGGTTTTTACTCCAGTTTCCCCCCACCCCACAAAAACATACAGTAGGTTGCCTTCAGGCCCAGGCTGCCCTTGAAAAAGAGATCTGAGACCTCATTGGGATTTGCCTGGTTAAATAACAGTAAAYAAATAAATMAACAATAAATTTTGTCTAGGGTACAAACTGACTAAAAAAATGCAAAGATACATTTTTTTGTGACACAAATCGACCAAAGTTTAAAAGGTTTTGTTTAGTGGCAGTACAACATGGTCAAAGAAGGAGGTTGGAATTTACAAATTTTGCAATTTTGTGGAGGTACAAACTGTCCATAACTGAAAAAAATTATTTGGTGGCAGGCCTAAATGACCAAAGTTACAAAAACACGTGTTACAATTTGTTCGAGGCAGAAATTGCCCAAAGCTGTAAAAATTTGATTTGTTGGAAGTATGAATTGAACATTTCAACATAACAAATCAACTCACTTTTTTAAACAAACCCCTTGATATTGTCACTACGTACAAATATCTTGGAATTACTTTGGATTCTCATTTGACTTATCGTGATCATGTACAAGTCTTAACCACTAAGCTGAAACAGAAATTATATGTTTATTCAAAAATTAGATCCAATCT